AGTCACATCTGGATAGTCTCAATCCTATTTCCATAGGGAGAAAGTGTTGGAAAGAATGTTAAGTAGCATTGGTCTCGATTCTTTTTTTCATAGATGAAAAGACTGAAGTACAGAAAGGTGTTTATTTAGAAAGGTAAGCCTAATCAGAGAGTCTGGTTAATAGCAGATTGAGAATTTACTCTGATTTCCTTTGACGTATTGAATTGCAATTATGTACCACCAACTATTACCTTTCTCACCTCCAGACTTCTTGAATTCAGAAAAGGATTTTATTTTAGAGAAGGATGAAAAAAGGGAAAAGAATAAAAAGCCTCACATGGCATGGAAAGCTGTCTCCTAAGCAAGATTCCATTACATTTCACCGTGTGTTAGGTTATAGATCAAGGCATGGGCAAAAAAGGAGAAAAGTCTATTCACAATATAATCTTCAGAATAGAAGATTATAATCTCTATGTGTATGTTCTTTGTGGACACAAACACTTTGCTCCAGAATCTCTTTGTGGTTTATTTGTTACCATTTTTATGTGCTTGGGAAATTTTTTTTCTAAACATTTCTAAAGAAACTGAAAACATCTCTTTGATTTTATCTTCTGTAGTAGGCAGTCGGGCATCAAAACAATAGTAGTGCAACATAATTTTCTCTCAGATAAGTCCCAAAGCACAATATCATTCATTTTAATCTAATATAGACTAAGCCTATTGTCCTGCTATCAGGTTTTTACCCTTTGTGATTTCTCCTTATGATTACAATTTCTCCTTACAAATTCTCCTTATAAAATCCCCTTACAATTGTTTCTTGCATTTTTTAATTGAAACAAGAAGTTTCCTTCTGTAAACTTAAAAATATTTTAATCAGAAATTATAAAGTGTATATTGTATTTACCACAGATTTAGAATTAAACTTTGTAAGAACACAGAACCCTTTCCATCTCTATTTATTCCTTATTTGATTTCAACTCTTGAACTCCTTTGTATAAAATCATTCAAGAAAATTTTGTGATTATTTATTTAGGTTATATATTTTGTTTCTATTTCTTTAATCATTATTCTAAAACTTTTGACACACATAATTGACTTCTCATATATTCAAATTTACAATATATCTTTTCTATCCTCTTAGATAGTAAATGATAGTAAGTTCTTAGGTGACATGAATTTATTTCAGTATATTTCTGATACTACTTTTATTTTTAAGATATAATCTACCAATTTAATAGTTACTTATTTGGATTATTTTCTTTTAAGTTTCACTATAATATGGCTAACATGCATATTTTAAAATATGCGTAAAATTTGATAGGATTCTCGAATCAATGGATTATAACTTTTTTCTAAATATTATTTTCTAACCAATCTCCAGTCAGTTAACTTTCTCTTTAGTACTATCTAATAGCTCTCAATTTACTGAGGTTTTTTGTTTTTGTTTTTGTTTTTAATCTCAGTGCTCTTTCTCCTACCCTAAGTTTTCGGTAGTTCTTTTTCAAGTTATTTAACACTAATTTGTTTCTGAAGGTCTTGCAGATATTATTGTTTTTGCCTCCCTCCCTCCCTCCCTCCCTCCCTCCCTCCCTCCCTCCCTCCCTCCCTCCCTCCCTCCCTTCCTTCCTTCCTTCCTTCCTTCCTTCCTTCCTTCCTTCCTTCCTTCCTTCCTTCCTTCCTTCCCTTTTTCTGTCTTTCTCTCGCCATACCCAGCAATGCTCAGGGCTGATTCATGGCTCTGTATGCAGGAATTACTTCTTGGCAGTACTCTGGGAACCATATGGGATGCTGCTGCTGTCAACTGCTTTCAAAGCAAATGCTCTACCAGCTCGCTGTACTATCTCTCCAACCTACATGTGCCTGACAACTTTTTATGGTTTGTTTGGTAAATTTGTAGAAATGACTTGAGGCCTAAGATGTAAATTCTCTCTTCCTGCAATAGTTTGCATTTTTTACCTCCAGAACCTCAGAAGTAGTAAGAGTAAAAAATAACATAAATTAATGTTCAAGAGTTGAGATTTTTTGCATCACTGGAGTGATTTGAAGATGCATTGTAAGTTATATGACAGCTGGATTGCTTCTAGTTCACCTGTGTATCAATAATGAAATTGGAACTCCAACTTATTGAAGAAAGAATTATATTGGGAAATTGGCTTTGAGCATGTCTGCTAGACTGCATTACATTTTTTGCTTTGCAGACTCTAGGTGTTGAGACAGAAACAACAATAATTTGAATTTGGGAAAGGAGCAAATGCCTTCAGAATAAAAGCAACTTCAAAGCCCTGTTCCTTTATGTGCATTCTGCATTGCTTTGGGTTCAGTTCTTCAAATTTAGCCTAGCAATTTTACTTGTTGTATTGGATCTTCAATCTTTCATAAAATAGTTTTGATTTTCATTTTTGGTTTGGGATTTCACTCAAAGTGTTATTCCTGGCCCTCTTCTCAGGAGCACTCCTAGTGCTCCTTAGGTGATTATATGTGGTGCTAGGTATCAAACCCAGGTCAGTACAGTAGGTAGGACACTTTGCCTGCACACATCTCTTCAGCCCCAATATTTAATAATTTTGTTCAGCAATATTGATTGTTTGGTGGAGAACTCTTTTGAACAGACTGGACTGCCATGACTATAAACTAGAATTTATTTATATTTTCATAATTAACTTCACTAGTTGAAAAATACATTTCCTAGCGATATGAAAGATAGGAATTAAAACTTTAAAACTATTATGAAAATTAGGTAAATGTGGTAAATTCTTAAAATTAAGGTAATTAGAACAAGCAGAATTCTGATTAATAATCTTGCTTAGTGACAGTTTCATAATAAATTGGAGCACTTCTTTAGAAAAAAACATGGCGAAATGTGGTATAAAATAATGTTAATCATTTTGACCAAATTAACAATATTTAAATATAAGCTGATACTGAAAATAACTGAAACAATATTCAACATTAGTGGAATGCATTAACAGATTATTATAGATTAGCATAGCCTATTATATAGTAATAAAGATAATTACAACTACTCTGAAAAATGGAATGTTTATAAAAATATGAAATGAAAATAGCAGAACACAAAGTAATATTCTAATAATCTTAAACAAGCTTATGTCTGGAAAATAAATAGCAAAATTACAAAAATGGCATATCTATATTAATGAAAGACCAGTTAGTTTTTCTTAATTCTTTCATTTTTTATATAGAAAAATAAATATTTCAAAACTTACATAAAAGCCACCATGATAATAATTTTCTCCAAATATTTTTGGCATACAGACTCATATTCTTTTTATTTTGGGGAATAGGACTAGAGATTCATGTTGACTTACAATAATTCAAGCCAAAAATCATTTAATTTTCTTCTGATTCTTGTGTAGTTCACAGAAACAAGCTGGCTTTCTATGAGTTTAAAATTATAAAAAAATTAAAAACAAAGATTATAGCTTTACATTTATTATCAGATCTTGATTCAGTTATTAATGAATGGGATTTGGAGCCAACATATTTCCTAAATTATTAAATTACTTATCTGGTCATTTCTTAGGAAGAAGGTATGATATAAATTTATGTTATATGTAATTATTAATTTTAATAGTGGGCTGGAGCGGTAGCACAGCGATAGGGCATTTGCCTTGTGTGCAGCAGGCCTCGCTGAGCCAGGTTCGATTCCTCCACAACTCTCTGAGAGCCCGGCAAGCTACCAAGAGTATCTCACCCGCACGGCAAAGCCTGGCAACCAACCCAGGTATTTGATATGCCAAACACAGTAACAACAAGTCTCACTATGGAAACGTTACTGGGCCTGCTCAAGCAAATCGATGAACAACAGGAGGACAGTGCTACAGTGCAGATCTATTCTGCAGAATTTTTTTCTGTGAAATATGTATTTCCTCAAGTCTCTCCTTGCTTGGCAAAGTACAACTTTCCTTCACTTATAACTTTTTAGGAGGCAATTGTCAGGAAGGATTGAAACACACTTGATACTATTCAGGGGCCATTCCTTGGTTCTGTGCTCCTCGGTATTCCTGGGTGATGCTCAGGAAACTATGAGTTCAATGGCAGGCAGCCACATACAAGGCAAGGACCTTAGTCATGCACTATATCTCCAGCTCATCACATAATTTCATTTTTTAATTTTTTTCTTAAATTTTTATTAGTGAAACACCATGAGGTACAGTTGTAGACTTACAAATTTTTGTACTTGGGTTTCAGTTATACAATGATCGAATACCCATCCCTCCACCAGTGCCCATTCTCCACCACCACTGATCCCAGTATCCCTCCCAACCCCCATCCCCCCCATTCCACCCTACCTCCGTGGCAGGGCATTCCCTTTTGTTATCTCTCTCCATTTGAGTGCTGTGGTTTGCAAAAGAGACATTGAGTGACAATCATGTTTGGTCTATAGTCTACTCTCATCACACCTCTCCCATCCTGAGAGGAACCTCCCAATACCGTTTATTTGGTGCTTCCTTCTCTATCTGAGCTGCCTTTTCCTCTAGCATCATCACATAATTTTAAAATCCATTTTCTAAACGTGACATTTATGTTTTATTTTTTTCCAATAAAAATTAGAAACTGATCTGTGTAAACCATGTATTTATTTACACACTTATTTGTTTCTACAGTTCTTGCAGATATTATTGACTTCATCACCTCTATTTGAATAGTACTCTATTCCTAGCACAATCTATGGTGCATTAGTACAAATTTATTTGTTTACCCTCTATTTTAAACATGAAAACTGCCAAAGCAAGGAACCATATGTTTGAATTTTTGCAACATAAATATATTGTCGATTACATATTATATAGTTAGATGTGATAGTCAAGTTTCTGGTTAGAATTTTTCTAGGATGAAGTTTTGCCCTTTGTCAAACTCTGTTTTTTGCTTGTGAAGTTCTTTCATTTTGTTTCAGTAGCATTTACTAAGAAGAATGGATTACTTTTTGTTTCAAATATAATTATTAGGGTAACATATTCCTAAAATGTCAGCTCTGTCTTGTTTTCTTTCTTTTAATCTAGGAGATTTCAACAACTCTGCCAAATCTGAGATGTTTATATCTCACAGTGGAGGTTTACAAATTTTATGCAAATACTCAGAGACTGTCAAGCAACTTAAAATGGAGCTAAGGAGAGGAGAAAAAATATTGTGTGAACTAACCAAGACAACGGGAAATAGAAACACAGTTTCCACAAAAAATGAAATTTTCTGTCAATCTCAGCTTTCCAATAACAGTGTTTCTTTTTTTCTGTATAACTTGGATGCTTCTCATGCCAACTATTATAGCTGCAAACTATCCATTTTTGATCCTCCACCTTATCGAGAAGAGATTATTAGAGAATATTTGCATATTTATGGTAAGACATTGCTTTCATCTTTCAGACATAAGAGTATCTATATCTTTTGACAACTTTTCTCACTAATGAAAGCATCTTTGTGTTGGAGTTCATTTAAATGCAATTAATGGGATTTATTATTGATAAAAATATGAAAGAAGTGCTTCATTATTAATAATAATTAGTATTGACCTGTTATGCACTATTTAGTCATGCAGACTGTGACATCAGAAGTATGTAATGCTTTCCTTAAAATACATTTAGAGTCAGGCCTTTCTACAACTAAGGCTTAAGGTTTCGATACTGTGCTAGGTGTGTGTAATAAAAAGACATGATTAAGTTGGAAATCAAATTAACTATTAACTATTTGATTAATCAATCAAACTATTATTTTTATTATTTCACAAAACATATACAAAAAAGGCGATTCTCATAGCCAATTTGGAAATGCATGTATAGAGTTTTCTGGGTTTTAATTTTTGGATGCTTATGATTAGACTAAGATGATTTGTTTTACCATTAACCTGGATTTCATGAGGGCACTGTAGCACTGTCCTCCCGTTGTTCATCAATTTGCTCGAGCAGGGCAGTAACATCTCCATTGTGAGACTTGTTGTTACTGTGTTTGGCATATTGAATACGTCAGGGGTAGCTTGCCAGGTTTTGCCGTGCGGGCGAGATATTCTCAGTAGCTTGTCAGGCTCTTGAGAGGGATGGAGGAATCGAACTCGGCATGAGGGCAATAAAGAAAAATTCAACTTCACTAAATTGGTCATTGAAATTTGTAAAACAACTTTTGACTTGGTACTTAAAGGGGAGATTTGATTTTCATGATCTCTCTCTCTCTCTCTCTCTCTCTCTCTCTCTCCCCCCCCCCCACCTTTGTCTATTTATCTCTCTGTTGCTTTTTTTCCAATACAGAATCCCAAAATTGCTGTCAGATGAGGATATGGTTGCCTATAGGATGTGCAGTATTTGTTACAATCTTCTGTTTGGGGTGTGTTTTTATCTGTTGGCTGACAAGAAAGGTGAGAAATCTTCATCCTTACTTGAATCTGTTTTGATGAGTAAATAATCAGTGATATTCCTCAGTAAAACACATGCCATTTCATCAATAGATAGACAATTTCTTTTACTTGAGATATGCCTATTAGTTAAGATAGTAACATGGAACAGTGGATTATTTATTTTACAACAACTCATTTCAGAAAAGAATTTAATGGTTTGATATATTTTTTGAATAATAATAATAATATAAGGAAATTAGAGGAAAGCATGAGTAAGAAGTCAGGAAAAGATTAATATGTAAAATATATTTCTAATTTCTGAAAAATTAAATGTGGACTGTAAATTTGATTTTAAAGTTCCTAAGGCTCAGGGAAAATATAAAATATTAATAACTTTTACTCAATTGGTTAATTAAAAAACAATCAAAAGAAAGTTGTAAGTTGTCATTGGTAACTGGAAAGAAAATTGCTTCATTACAAGAAAATTATTAGGAATCCTTATTTAAGAAAATAATTGAAAAATGTATGCAAAAAGATGAGTTATAGTAACAAGGGGAGATATTCAGAGAATTTATGCTAATGGTATAGTGTTTATACATTACTGTGACCATTGGCTATTATGTGTAGTATCTATGCCAGAATGGAATTTGACAGAGAGATAGAGCCTATAATCTAAATCTACTGGGGAAGGGAGAAAAAGAAACAAAATTAAGGAAGTTCAGCGGAAACTCCCCTGTCTCTTTTTGTCTTTTAGCCATACCTGGCTATGTTCAGGCCTTACTCCTCATTACACAGGACCTGCTCAGGATCAAACTGGGGTTGGTTCCAAATAAGGCAAGGACCTTAATCCATGTACTATCTTTTTGGCTCCAGAAACTCACTTTACTTTAAAACCAGTTTCACAAAGTTTTCTTAGCCTGTAGACAGGTACCTGAGTTATAGTCTAGTATTTTGGTCACATATCATCTCTACAAAGCATAGAAAATAATAAAGAAACAGCAACAACAATTAGTCAAACAAAAACAGGGACTAGATGAATAGCAGATGTCAAACCATGTTTTTGGTATGTGTGTTTGTTTTTCCCCTCCAGAAGTCTCAGTCCAGTGTATCTGACCGCAGCAGTGAGTACGTGATCATGGCCTCAGTACCTACAGCCAAGACACCCGGACCCAGAGGTACAGTTTAACTTGGAGGTTAGAGCAGGGAAGATAATCTGACTATTCCAAAGAAAGGAAAAAGATCTTTAATTACTTATTTTCACATTTTTCAAAAAATATAAATAGGAATGAAAATTAACGTAGAACCAAAAAGTTATGTTACTGAATAACACTTTTCCCAGTGCATTGAGAAAAACAATTAAAAACAGTAATCTTGAAAGTCACTATTAAAAATATTTCCCAAATTCACAAGCCATCATATCAAGACAATTTTACAACTGAGTTTAAAAATTAGGAAAGAAATCTTTGTTATAATTTTCAAGCCACGAATCTGAAAGTTGAGGGAATTTGGGTAGTCACAAATTAGATGAAACTAACTTTTTCCATGGAAGTGAATGCTATTAACTTGCATGTCATTAAATTGATGAGCGTCCAGAAAGTATGAAGTTTTCACAAGGGAAAAATTGTAAGTTGCAATGATATGACAGATGTAATGAGACATATGCCATTTTTTTTGCCACCACTCAGGGTGAAAACTATTTGGATGGGATACACATAGTTTCTATCATAATTACAGTGGAAGATAGAAAAACACTCCTTTAGCTCATCTTCTATTTTTCAGATAAATTTATACTTGTGGTATTTCAGGGTATTAATTGACTCCTTTGCATGCTTCCCCTCCCCCCACCGGGATATGACAATAGATTTTACTCTATCAAGGACATTGAGTTTCACTACTTTGCTATTGAGAAAAAATGTTTTCTCTAAGTCTGGTCTGATAGTTTGTATTCCTAGAAGCAGACTCTGAGATAGAGATTTGGTGGAAGTAATATATTTATATGGTGACTCCAAAAGAAGAAGTGGAGCAAACAATTATTAAGGAAGGAAGTCAATTGAAGGCTTCATCACTAAGGTCTCAACTAGAGGATAAAGACTAAAAGAGAAGAAAAGAGTGCAGATGTTACCTTGAAGTATTCTTCTGAAGGATTGCAAGCAGGGCATTTTTCTTTCATTTGTTTGCTTATTCGCTTTGGGGTCACACCCACCAGTGCTCAGGGTTTACGCTTGGCTCTGTGCTCAGGGATCACTCTTGGTAGGATTTAGGGGACCATACGCGGAGGACCATATTGCCACTGATTTGGTATTGCCCACTGGGATTTTCACTTTACCCTGGTACCTAAATAGTGCCAGGTGCTTGGAATAAGCTTGTTTTCTAAGCTTTCAGAGAAAAAAACTCAGAGACAGAAAATCCTGAGGGTACCTTATGGGCTCTTATAGAATGGCCTGCATGTGTGCTGGAATGGGAGGCAAGAAGTTCCAGTTTTCCTGCTCCCCACCCCAATTGTGCATATATCTGCAATTAAATGCAAACAATAATAGCTGAAAGTTTTGAGTGAAGCTTTTTGAGGGGTGACAGGACATTTCTTCTGAATTCTAGAAAACATTATACAGGTATAATTTTCAGGAGACTATGACTCGGTATTTCTATAAAGCAGGTTTTATATAATTTCTGTAGCCTAAAATCCCAGGAAAAAAAAGATTTTACAAGCTTATTACATGGCAGGTTCTCAATATAAGTATCTTAAATGAATAAATAAAAAGTTTGTAAAGTAAAATCTTTCATTTTGGATTATAACCCCATACTGTGAAATGCAGATTAAGTAGGGCAAGGGAAGACTCAAGTCAGTCCAATTCTTCCGTTTGCAATGTCACTGGAAAATTGTTGTGTTTACATTGAGGGTTGAATTATGTGAGTGTCAAATCTAGTCAGCTGCAAAGATTAGAGGTCATATAATATCTGTTAAAGAAGTTAAGATAGCTAGGTAAAACCTCTGGAAAATGTGGTTTGGTATTGTGTCTTGAAGTATAAATTAGATTTTAGGTGTGTGTGTGTGTGTGTGTGTGTGTGTGTGTGTGTGTGTGTTTACTGGAGGCAGACCGGGTAAATGTCAAAGAAAATTAGAATGTGGAAAACTTTTTAAATAATTTATGCTAACTTTATGTTACAGGTATGACTCAAAATTTGAGATGCTCTGGCGCCCAAGCATGAATCTGGTTGGCCAGTTCATTGTTCCCCAACTGAAGTGGCAGAGTGCCTCATTTTCTTGATCACAGAATGACTGACTTGATTTGACCACAAACATCTACTGCAGGGAGTTTTGTTCAATCTGGACTAGTCAGTTATGTCAGTCAGTAGAGTAACAGACTGCTTTAGTACTGTTGAATTCTCTTAAAACAAACACCCACTTGCATATAGCTTTAGAGAAAGTCTAGTTCATGTGTACTCAACAAATAGACCTCACTGGAATGGAATTCTTGTCTTCTTAATGGCTTCTAGCTATGCATCCGCCAGAAAAACAAACATATCAACAGAGAACTTGAAAGATGCCAAGGATACTGAATCTGCAAAGCAAATGGGCAGTCAAGGGGCACCATCTGTCCATTACAGACTACCTCTCTTGTAGGATAAACATTTAATTTTCACTCAGAAGGTAGAGGGAGATGCATGTAAGGAGATAAATTGTTTCTGAGGTGTTAACATGTAACTATAAGGCATCAATACTTGAGTACGCTGCTCCAACTTCTGAACTCCGATCATTCCAGCAAGAGTTACATCTTGTTCTTCCTTTAGTTTTCCTTTTAAAAAATACAGCTATCTGATTACTTGAAAGACACTGAGCAGGGAGCATGTCTACATTTTTCTCTAATGTTCATTGAGATATATGTATATGTATATATATGTATGTATGTACATACATATATATATGTGTGTGTGTGTGTGTACATATACAGCTGTAGCCTAACAAATATAATTTGCCTATGTTCTATGTTCTTCCTACAAGAAAACTCTTGCTCTGGAAAAAACTCTTAATTTTTCAAATTTAGTTGAAATGATTTACTTTGTTGGCTTGTTGACATTAGTGGTAGTGAATATTGCCCCATATCAGAAGCAATTTTATTTTATGATAGCAGTGTAGCACTGTCCTCCCATTGTTCATCAATTTGCTCGAGCGGGCACCAGTAACCTCTCCCTTGTAAGACATGTTGTTACTGTTTTTGGCATATCAAATATGCCATGGGGAGCTTCCAGGCTCTGCTGTGCAGGCGGGATACTCTTGGTAGCTTGCGGGGCTCACCAAGAGGGGCGGAGGAATCGAACCTGGGTTGCCCATGTGCAAGGCAAACACCTTACCTGCTGTGCTATCGCTCCAGCCCATTTTACTAGTGTTGGATTTTAGATCATTTGTTCATTTTTCAAGTTTTCATGGTGCTATTAATTACAATCTAGGTTACTTTTATAGATCATACTTAAATTCCAAACAGATAGGCAAAATCATTTCTTATGGTAAAGCATAGTCCTGGAGGGTACATCCAGCAATTCATTCAACCTAAAAAAAACCCCTTTTGTCTTGGAGGTCAGAGGTCACCAACTAACAGCCATGCTGCCTCTGGGCTTGATGGGTTGAAATGGCCTTCATTAATTTGGAGCAGTCCTGGGAGTAAATCCAAAGGTTGAAACTCCCCTGAGCCAGGGACAACTATATCTCATGCTGAATTCACCCTAATAACCACAGTGGGTCTGTGCCTGCGTTTTGGACCTCCAGTATCTGTAAAGAAGATGTACCCAGGGATCATAAGTATTTCTTGTCCTTGAAATCATTCTGCCTGGAAACTGGTCCCAGCCTTTCAAAATACTCTCTATTACATTACATTACAATTTGGCTGGGACGCTTCCTATATTCACATAATATGATTATGCTTAGCTGAAATATTTTCTCCACTTCCTGTCCTTATGTCCAAGGCTTTTGAAGCAGCCAATGCGTCTGCCACAACTTTTTAAACTTTAGATAAAATGCCCTTGTTTAGAAGTTTTAAAACTTGTAGTTGCCTGCTTATAGTTTAGAACTGAGCCTTGATGTATCTTTACACATTCTTATATTATTTTAAGTATGTGTAATGATTGACATGTACAGTATAGTACTGAATTTGTAATATGAACCAAGTATGGTGTTCTCCATGGACAGCATGGCAAGTTTTGCTGTGTTTTGAGTTCATTTTGTTTGTTTACTTGATTTTGGGGCTGCACCTGGTGGTGCTCGAGGCTAACACCTGGCTCTATGCTCAAGGATCATTCCTGGTGGTGACTCAGAGGATCCTATGGGGTGTTTGGGGTTAAACCCATGTTGGTCACATGAAAATCAAGTGTCCTGTCCTCTGGACTATCTCTCCCTTCCCCAATTCAAAGCCAGGAACACTCCCAGTACCAAGCAAGTTTGATGGTTCCCACAGGTGCTGGGGGATCTCCTGGCCACACCAGGTACTTGGAGATTGTGGGGTGGCAGATCAAACTGGGTCACCTTAACCTTTGTGCTATTTCTCTGGCTTCTCTCTGAATTGTTTACAGATTTTTGTATGGGATCTGGGTGGGGATTGCAGCCTTCTAATGGCTTGCCTAGCCTGTGCCCTGAAGTACACTTTCCTCCACATTGGACATTTAAAAGTAAATTGTTAAAGAATGCAATTTCTGTGAAATAATAATTGTTTTTACTCTGAATGGATCAATTTATGACAGGGATTTTAGCAGTAACAGGCAAATAAACAATAAATATTTTATGTTAAGGAATACTTCATTGTTTCCTTGGGGGGAGGGAATGATTACCTTATCAGTACTTGCAAATTTGACCCTTTTCCTGAAGAAACTTCAATAACTTACTATAATTACTCTTTCAAAATTAAAAATATAAAGGCAAAATAACTATACAGTTACTATAAATCATTAAAAGTTTAACAAATCACTCTTTTTTTCTTATTATATTTCTGATTTAATGACTATCTCTTCTGATTATTTTCTGTAAACAAGAATATTCTTCATACCACAACTAACCACATCATAAACATCAAAAACTGATATTAATACACAGATACCATTAGTGTATATTCATTTTCATAGGTGTATACATAATGTGTTTTATTGCAAAAGATTCCATTCAGAAAATGTCCCTTTGAATTTAATTGTTATGTCTGGATCTTTTGTTGGTTTTGAATCTTAAGGCGTTGGGTCTTTTGAAGATGATTAGCAGTTATTTTGTAGATGTCTCTCAAATTTAGATTATCTGATGTTTCTTCATAAGTAAAATCAGGTTAAGAAATCATGTGAAAATAACAGAAGAAATGTTATCTTTCATTGCATCATATTAGGTTTAACAAATACAACGTTGAATTTATAACATTACTAATAAAGTTTATATTGATTACTTGACTACACTCGTGTTTATCAAATATCTCCATTATAAAGTGATTTTTTCCTCTTTGTAGTTAAAATTTTATGTGAAAGGACTTGACAGTTTGTAATTATTTTTTCCTTGTCAAAGTTTGTTTATTTCATTTGTTTATATTTTCATGTTTCCTATTTTATTCAATGAATAAACATTTATTTCTATAATTCTTTTATTTTGATGATCAAATTATCATTCTTGGTAAAAAGGAACCAATTCAAACCAGATCCTGTGAAATAATCAGTGTTCCTCTGGCTGAATAATATATTCTAGATTCAGTTTATGAATTCTCTATTTCAGCACCAGAATCAGTAAGTTCTCCAAGGAGCCCAGGTTTCTTTGAGAAGGAAATGGTTTTTAAAAGCCAAGAGATATGCATTAGTTCTACTCATCACAATTGAGATTTTCCTGCCCCTTGGGAACATAAATATAAAGATAAAAATGTGTGTCTATATGTGTTTGTATGAATATGTATATTTACATTTAAATGTAAATGTGCATATACATGTGAATGACAATATATAATGTATTATATACATAAATGGAAATATGTCTATGTCTATTATATAACCATATGTACTCAAGCATACATATGTATACAGACTTATATTGCATTTTTAAATTTTTTTTCTAATTTTTTTTATTTTTTAAATTTTATTGAATCACTGTGAGATAGTTGCAAGCTTTCATGTTTGGGTTACAATCACACAATGATCAAACACTCATCCCTCCACCAGTGTACATTCCCCATCACCAATATCCCCAGTATACCTCTGCCTCCATGGAAGACAATTTTCCCCATACTCTTTCTCAACTTTTTGGCATTGTTTTGCTATATAGCTACTGAGAGGCCATCATGTTTGGTCCTTTATCTACTTTCTGCACACATCTTCCATCTCGACCAATTCCTCCAGCCATCATTTTCTAAGTGATCCCTTCTCTATTCCAGCTACCTTCTCCCCTTTGATCATGAGGTAGACTTCCAGCTATGGAGAAATCTACCTGTCCTGGGTATCTACTATCCTTAGGTGTCAGCCTTGTGTTATGTTATTTCATTATACTCCACAAATGAGTGCAGTCTTTCTATGTCTGTCCTCTGTTTTTGACTCATTTCACTTAGCATGAAACTCTCCATGTCTATCCATTTATAAGCAAAGTTTATGACTTCATCTCTCTGACAGCTGCATAGTATGCCATTGTGTAGATGTACCAAAGTTTCTTTAGCCAGTCATCTGTTCAAGGGCACTTGTGTTGTTTCCAGATTTTGGCTATTGTAAGAGTGCTGCAATGAACATATAGGTACAGATGTCATTTATACTGTGCTTTTTGGCATTCTCAGGATATACTCCAAGAAGTAGTATTGCAGGGTCATATGGAAGCTCAATTTTTAGTTTTTGGAGGACTGTCCATATTGTAAAGGCTGGACTAGTGGGCATTCCCACCAACAGTGAAAGAGTGTCCCTTTTTCCCCACATCCATGCCAGCACTGGTTGCTTTTGTTCTTTTGAATGTGTGCCAGTCTCTGTGGTATGAGATGATATCTCATTGTTGTTTTGATTTGCATCTCCCTGATGGCTAGCGATGTGGAGCATTTTTGTACAATTCTACTAGTATCTTGTATATCCTGGATATTAATCCCTAATCAGATGGGTATTGGGTAAATATTCTGTGGAGTCTTTCTTTATTTTGGTCACTGTTTCCTTTGAAGTGCAGAAGCTTCTTAGTTTGATGTAGTCCCATTTGTTTATGTTTGCTTCCACTTGCATGGTCAGTGCTGTTTCATCCTTAAAGATGCTTTTAGCTTCAATGTCGTGGAGGATTCTGCCTACATTTTCC